GCGGCACGTGCGGGGCATGGGCGGTGCGGCCGGCCTGCCCGGGCGGCGGGGACGGGACTCGACCCTGGGCTCGCCTGAGCCCTTCCTCCTCGCCTTGCCTCTTCTTCCTCCTCCTTGCTTGGCTGGCTTGTCCCATGCTGATGCCCAGTATCTCTGTGTTCAGGCCCCGGTAGACATGGCTCCCAAGGACACCCCGGAGGAGTCTTTTGCGGAAGACCTGCCGAATAACCTCACTGAGCACTAAGCGAGTCCAGTGCCTGGGTACACTGGAGCGAGCTGGGCATGGTCAGCTGTGTCCTGGAGCTGTCTGGGGCCCCAGCCCTTGGCACAGCGTGCCCTTGGTGCCGGCGCTGCACGTACAGCTGCCCCAGTCTTTCCTGTACCCGTGTGGCAGGAAACAGACGTTTTTGCACTCGCTTGCATGTCCGCTCCGCCTCTGTTTCTCTGATCCTGGATTATTGAGATCTTCCCGCTTCTGTGTTTCCAGCTGGTTCCAGAGCATGAGATCCATTGCCGGAGACAGAAATAAGATCCTCAAGAAACAGCCCAGGCCGTGGAGGTTGTGTCCATCCTCCTCTCGTTTTGGGACCAGGAGCTACCACCAGCGCTCCCTCCCCGACTGCGAGCCAGCGGTCAAGAACGCTCGCCCCTTTAATCTTGCCTTTCCTTTCTTCTCCCAGCTGGAGCACGTTCTCGCCCCGCTCCAGCACAGTGAGATCACCGCGGCGCTCATGGAAACCCTGCATTTTTACGTACCAAAATGATGTTCTTTCCACACTCTCAATGGCCTTTGCTAATGCACTGGCTATCCTCCAGTACCAAGGTGGCAAGATGCTCTCATTCGCACCATGACTGGGAGCTCTAGTGGTCCGGGGTCAGTAGAGAAAGGTAACAGCTCCCTTTCCACCCACTTTCTTTCTTCTTTTAGGAGATGGACATAAACTTCAGCACAGATTTGGTGTTTTTGAAGCCTTCTGGTAACGAAGCTCCTTGTTCGCAGCCCTGCAGGCTGGTTTTAAATCCTTTCAATAGAGTGGTATTTCCTTTTATCTCCATCTTAAACCAAATGAACATTGCCCACGGTCTCTGGAGTTTTCCTGAATCTTCTAGTATATTTTTAAAGGGGAGAGAAAAGTGTCTTACGGGATTGGCGCACCTCCCCATAGACAACCCCCTTCCCCAAACCCTCACTCCGCGCTGGCGGGGGTGCTTATCCAGCTGAAGGGAGGATGGCCGGAGAATCCCCCTGGCTTGGCAGCTGCCCCGAGGGACCCCAGGCCTTGGCGACGTGTTACAGATACGATGCACTTAGCGGGTGACTCGCGCATTCAATTTCGAGCAGCGCAAGGGAGTAAAACTGCCCGGCTGTAGAAAGGGGCGGCCCCACGGGGCTCCTGCAGGGGGCGGCAGAGGCCTCTGTTACGGGAGAACGACATCTCCCAGGAGCCTTTGTTCCTAAGGACCCCTCCTCACAGCCAGACGCTGGCGTAGGCGTCCATCCCGCTGCCTGTCACGCGCGCGCCTTAAATGCCGCCTGCCCTGTGCCGGGCAGGCGACTAGCGAGGAGACCCGCGCGCGGGGGCCTGAGCGGCGGCGCCTGCGCAGTGCGGCCCGCGGGGGCAGCATGGACGACGAGGAGGAGACGTACCGCCTGTGGAAGATCCGCAAGACCATCATGCAGGTGGGCCCGACCTCTCCCCTCCCCTCCCCTTCCCCCTCCTCCTCGTGCCTCAGTTTCCCCCCCCCTCCTCCTCGTGCCTCAGTTTCCCTTACCCCTGACATCCTCGTGCCTCAGTTTCCCTGCCCACCCCTTGCGGAGCTGACGGCGCCCGCTCCCCGCAGCTCTGCCACCACCGCTGCTACCTGGTGACGCAGGACGAGCTGGACCAGACGCTGGACGAGTTCAAAGGGCAGTACGGCGACAAGCCCAGCGAGGGGAGGCCGAGGCGCGCCGACCTCACGGTGCTGGTGGCTCACAATGACGACCCCACCGATCAGATGTTCGTCTTCTTCCCCGGTGAGGCGGGGCGGCTCCCCGGCGCTTCTCTGTTAGACACCCGACGGGGGGACGCGCGCTCTCGTAAAGGAAACGGACCGTTCTCCTAAATCCCGCCTGGCCCGATTGTTTTTGTTCTTCTCAGAGGAGCCCAAGGTGGGGATCAAGACCATCAAGCTGTACTGCCAGAGGATGCAGGAGGAGAACATCACCAGAGCCCTCATCGTGGTGCAGCAGGGCATGACGCCGTCCGCGAAGCAGGTGCGCGACTGCCCCGCCCGGGGGCCGGCGGCCTTCGGGCTCTCGGGGGCCGGCGCGCCGGGGTCGCGCCTCCTTCGCGGTGACCTCGTGGAGCGCGTCGGCGGCCGGAAAAGCGGCCGGCGGGTGCTGGGGA